AGTTGTTATTTGAATAGTCTCCTCTTTTGCTGGTAGAGCGTTAGAGGCTTCAACAACGCATTGTAATTATAAAAATGATGAAAACCTGGCAGAGACCTTTTATTGAACTGAAATATTTTTCGGTCGTCGTGAAGCATCTTGTTGGACTGCAATACAGAAATTGGTAGAAAAATGCTGCCGTGGTACAAGTTAGGAATGTGAAGAATAGAACACGCGACCTGCACCTAAAGAACGACTGAGAATGTTGTTGCTGGAGCCTCAAGTGTTGAAGAAAATCCAGGTTTGTCCATTCCTCGTCATTCTTTAACATTGGGCATTCCACAAACGTCATTACATCGTATTTTACATAAAGATTTTAAGGCTTCTACAATAGAACTCAAGCCAGCCGATCTTCGACAATGTCATGGCTTTGCTGATTACGTACTTGAAATGCATGAAAATGATCCGATGATTCATCGAAAAATCAACTTGAATGCTGAGATCCATTTCCACCTCGAAGGCTTCGTGAATAAGTAATACTGCCGCATCTGGACCTCGGAAAACCCAAGATTTATTGTTGAAAAGCCTCGTAACTGGTTGGTGCGATTTATGGTCCGGCTGGGTCTGTGGACCTTCCTCTTTCGAAAATGAGGCGGTAGCAACAGTTGCGGTGAATAGATTGTGCCATCGAGAGATAATTAGTGATTATTTATGACCGAAATTAAATGGTATTGATCTGGATAGGATTTACTTTCAACGTGCCACACAAGCAACGAAACCATCGATTTTTTAAGAGAAAAATTTCCGGCCGTGCTATCTCTCCAAGTGGTGATCGAGATTGGACACCAAGCTCTTTTGATTGAACACCGCGAATCTTCTTACTTTGAGGCCACGTGAATGGCCAACAGATCAACGTCGATTCAAGACCTCAAAGATGGAGTTCGTGAAACTATTGAGGGTGCACAGCAGCGGTTCGGTGATGGAGAATTTTATACAAATGATACCATAGCTGTTGGCGGTCATTTGACTGATATTGTTTTCCATTATTAATGGCATAACTTTCTCTTTACATTCAACATCCGATTGTTTAACTGTTATTGGAAAACCCTATATAAAATGATTCTCAGAAAAATCGTCTGCCTTTCGAAGGCGAATTGGAAAAACTCAAGATAGAAAAAAGCACCTTATATGAGATGGCGTCACTTTTATACCCTTCACGCTTTACCTATCAAATGTACAGCATTTCGTTTCCGGATTTAACATTAATTCTCGTATCTGAAAAATTTTCTGGACTATGTATATGGCAAAGTTTATCGATTTCGATGATTTTCGATATCAATATTAATATGAATTTATGTGTGTAGAATACCGAAATTTACGATTTTAGATCCTGTTTTTGACAGATTTTTTACCCAAAACCTCACATCTGAAAAAATCGGTTAGTTTTGGAAGTATTATATGATCTAAAGCACACTTATCACTCGAACATCGTCATGGCAACATTATGATACTTCTACTTCATCACATTTTCTTAAGATTTGGATTTGTTGTCTTTGCCGTTTCATGCTCAAAATAAACTGAGAATCTCTTTTCCGAGGTAAATTTTTCATTAGAATACTCGCTGGTCTTATTTGCAGACCTGAAGCGTCTCTTCAATACTTTTAAGAAATTCTTTTTCAAAGTATATAAAGCAAAGTTATTTGCAAAAATTAGTACGATTTTTCTTTACATACCCTCGTTCAAATAAAGGGTGATTTTTTAGCTATTATCTTTTCGGCAACACTGGTTTAAACAGCTGACGCTCATTACGTGTTTGGTATTACTGTCAACCATCTTCAGTTTGGTCTATGGACTATGAATCGTCTAACAAACGAAAAACGCTTGCAAATTATTGAATTTTATTATCAAAATGCGTGGTCTTTTAAGAAAGTTCTTCACGCGCTTTCTTGTCGAAAAATTATGTTCAGTGACGAAGCTAATTTTTGGCTTAATGGGTGTGTAAATAAGCAGAAATGTCGATTTTGGAGTGAAGATCAGCCAGAAGCTTTGCAAGAGCTACCCATATATCTAGAAAAAGTCACAGTTTGCTACGGTTTATGGGCTGGTGGCATCATTGGACCGTACTTCTTCAAAGATGATGCGAATCGTAATTTAAATGTGAATGGTGAGCGCTACCGTGAGATGATATTAAACTTTCTTTTTGACCAAAAAGCTTGACTTGCATGACATGTGATTTCAACAAGACTTTCCCGGTGCCACATGCCACACAGAACGCGTAACAATGGACTTTATTTTATGCTCGGCACCGGTCAATCGGCCGCCTAAATCGTGCGATTTAACGCCTTTAGACTATTTTTTGTGGGGCTATGTTAAATCTAATGTCCATACAGACAAGCACGCTTCAATTGACGTATTGGAGGACAACATTGCAGCATTTATTCGTGAGATATCGACCGAGATGTTGGAAAGAGTATGCCAAAATTAGACTTGGCGGATGGACCATTTGAGGCACTGTCACGGTCAGCATTTGTATGAAATAATCTTCAAACATTAAATTAATGGACCGTACTATCGATTCAAATAGAGATTTTATGTATTTTTTCTGAATTTTAAGTGTTTTTTTGTAAAAACTTGCCTATAGCTCTAAAAAAAATCACCCTTTAAATGCACACTTTCATATATATGTACACTTGTATGTATTATGCATATGTGAATCGAAAATTCATTTTCGGAAACCCCAAAAACAAAAAAGGTGCCAGTGTGAATGGTGACAATTTTGACATATTTAAACTTGTACATACATACAAACATACATACATACATACATACATATGTATTATATTTGTAACTGTATCAACGAGTATTCCACGCAATATTCGATTTCGCAAAAAAAAAATGATTTCTTCCTTCCCTTTCCTTTCTCTTGTGCTCGCACTTTACGCTGTGTTGCCTTCCACTCATTTAAATTACGATAATTTTGTTTACCATTTAGCATAACATTTCCGGTATCGATGGCAACGCATTGCCGGTGTTTTTAGTGCAGTTGCCGCTGCTGCTACTCGTTTTAGAGTTGTCGGCATTCCAAGTGCTCGCACTCGTCCTCGCAACCGCTTGAAGTGGCGCAGCTGTGTAGGAAGCGGTTCTGGTGTGCCACCATACCGTTTGCCATGTGTTGGGTAAGTTTGAGTGGTGCGGCAAAGTGAGCAGCAACTATTGAATGCGGATAAAACATATGAATAAATATACTTACAAGTCGGAAGAGTAATAAAAAAAATAAATATAAATAAAATACGCCGAAAAACAAAGTACCTCGAAGGCATCTCAATGGGCATTCGTAGGGAAAGCGGTGAATACCAGCCAACGATGTACTTTTATATCGATTATTTTTGGGACTAGATAAAGACGAAGCATCTTCTTTATGATTTATAATAATTTTAGTTCGCTGTCGAATGCATGGGTTTCTTCAAAAATGAATGAAATAACAGTACCGGTCAAAGCAAAAAAAAAACTATTTAAAACAATTCAATTTATTACGCTGTTAACCATTTGAGAGTTGCATTTCTTAATATAACAACTAATTAAATCGTAATCATCCGCCTAAAATTATGCAGGCTCATAAATATTAACATCCAAGGTATGTTGAGAATAAGAATTCAAAGCGTCAAATTTTCCAAACTGAGAGTGCTTTTTTTTAGAAGTGTGGTCTTCAAGGAGGAAACATTTTTTTCGGAGTTGGTCTTTTTAACGGCTGCTACTTGATTTATACTCAATTTGATTTGCCTTTTCATAATGAACAGATATACTCTGCAACAACGTTTGCAAATCGTGCAAATTTATTACCAAAAAAATGTCCCAGCAGAGTCAGTAAATCGAGTAACCATGCATCTTTTTACGCACCACGTGGTGGATAATGCGGATCCTCAGAGACCAAAGACGCTCATGCTGCTGTGAAGCAGAGTTTCGAAGAAACTTCCAATGAATTCAACAATTGCAGCTGTGATCATTAATTTTATGAAAGACTTTGCAGAAGACACTTTGTATACGGGCTTAAGGAACCAATTCGTACAAAATTTGTAGTCGAACGACCATAAAACCTGTTGCACGCCCGGTGAATAGGCCGAAAATGAGATGGCCCGATTTTCACATGAACATTTTGTTCGGCGTTGAAGCTCATTCTTGATTCATTGGGTACATTTATAAACAAAATTGTCCCATGTGGAGTGATGATAATCCACAAGCCATTCCTGAAACGTCGTTACATCTTCAAACAGTCACTGTTTGGTAGGGTCTTCTATAAGCTTAGGGAATCATTGGTTCATATTCCTTTCAAAATCAAGCCGGCCATTGTGTTACAGTCAATGGGCAACGCTATAGAGCCATGATTAATGACTTTCTCATCCCTGAATTGGAAGAAATTTGATGTGGATGACCTTGGGTTTCAACCGCTTGGACTGCCGAAAACAAATGAACTGTTTTTTGACTTATACGATGCAAACTGTGCTGAAGCGAACTAGTTTCTAACTGGTATGAGTGAACCAGTAATTAAACCGGTATATATGAACTGGTATATAACTAGTATGAAGCTGATGCTTAGACTGACAATTATTGGCATATTGACATTTCGTAAGACATCGCCTTGTTAAAAATACCAGTTGCTCACATGGAAGATGATGGAAGATTAACTTGTTGGTATAAAATATATACCAGTTGGACTCTACTTAGCAACTAGTATTTTTCCCTGCAGAGCACATACTTACATACGCATTCATATGTATGTGTAGAATGTAAAACCATAGTGCTGAGTAGCTCGTCACGAATCTCAACATTTTGCTTGCCGGGAAATTCATTCATTAAAATAGTATTCGAAGACAACAAATACAACAATACTGCATATGTCTAGTTGTTTATATATTGTACATACATACATACATACATACATTCATCTATATAAATCTTGCACACAAGTGAAATGCACTCGCTTTTCAACATTTTCTCTTTTCCACTTGTTTTTATTATTGCAGCAGATACCGGTGCAATTCGAGGGAGCACATATTGACATACATACATACATACAGATATTCATATCAACAGTAGCATCAGCAAAAACAACAAACAAATAAACAAATAAATAAAAAATAACAACAACGAAATGGCGAGAAGTTTACGTCCCCTCAAGATCACAATAGTCGGCGATGGTATGGTCGGTAAGACTTGCCTACTCATTACATACACACAAAACGAATTCCCCGAAGAATATATACCGACAGTGTTCGATAACCATGCCTGCAACATAACGGTCGATGGCAATGAATACAATCTGACACTCTGGGATACAGCCGGGCAGGAGGATTATGAACGTTTGCGTCCGCTAAGTTATCCGAATGTAAGCATGATCAAAAAAAAAAATAAAATAAAAAAAAAAAAAATTAAAATACATACACACATACACACATTTATATATACGCATTCATTATCTGTGCTTTCTTTTCTACTTTATCTTCAAACGCACAGACAAATTGCTTCCTGCTTTGCTATTCGATAAGCAGTCGAACGTCATTTGAGAATATCAAAAGTAAATGGTGGCCCGAGATACGACATTTCTCCAACAATGTGCCGGTGGTGTTGGTGGGCACGAAGCTGGATTTGCGAGTACCGAATTCGGAGAAATTCGTGACGACAAGTGAAGGCAGACGCTTGCGAAAGGAGATCCATGCGCATACATTGGTGGAGTGTTCGGCCAAAAGGAAGATCGGTTTGAATCAAGTGTTCGAGGAAGCAGTCAGAGCGGTTGAGAAGAAGCCAAGCTCAAAACCCAAACAATGCACATTACTATAGGGGGCGATTGGAGATGATGATAGAAAGCAAGGAAAATGGTTTAAAAATTACAAAAACAAAAACATAACAACAAAAATATGGTGCATACAAGCGTGTGCATACATATATGTATATACAACAACTAGGTTCCCTGCTGAAAACGTATTTGTTTTGCTGCTTCTATTTTGTGCGCCTAAAAGTATGCAACAACTTTTGCTTGAATATTCAAGAATTTTCGGCCATTATTGTTGCAGTTGTTGCTGCGCAGACGGGTCTTACGATTACATGCGGGCGGGTAGAAAGAACTTTAAGTTCTTTTATTTCGTTTTATTATTATATTCTTCTTTGCTTTACAAAAAAAAAAAAAATAAAATAAAATAAATATATGAAAATATTGTTAAAATAAAAAATAATAAATTTTTACTTTTCCTTTAGTATTTTAAGTGTAAACAGTTTTAATTAAATGTAAATCGATATGTTGTATTTACAAATCTATTTATTAATAAATTGAAAACTAAACATAAATAAAAAATAATATAATAAAGCAAAATATTTAGGTATATGTACGTATGTATATACATATAAAAATTCGTATATGTGCCGAACTTAGTCAAAAAGGCTGTTAGATTGGATAGCATTGTTACTAAATAAATATGAAGAAATCCAAGTAATAAGAAATTCATTGTAAAAAATATGTGAAATTAATAAAAAAATATTCAAACTGTTTAATTATTGTAAAAAAATTTATTCACAAACAATGCTCTACTACTTTTTTTTCTTTTTGCGAATAAAAAGGGTTTTTTTTAGTCGGAGTTAGCTTTTTAGATAGTTGTTTGGTTTGCCTCTTGAAATAAGGCAAAATAGTAGTTCGGCTCCCAAGACGCAACGTGCATTGCGTCCAATATTCGGTCGATATAATCGCCCAGCATAATCGGAAATTCGCCTTCACTCGACGTTTACTCTATTCGATGATGCCCATCCGCAGATATGCCATACAGCGATAACCGTAGACCCTATTAATACTGTGTGAGGCAGACCACCGGAATCGCGCTCAACAATTAGAGTTGTTTACATCCATTTTACGAAAGATTTTGCGAAAAAATCCGGGCTTGCGCGCTTGCAACATCCAACTCGTGCAAGAATGAAGCCGAACCACCATTAAGCGAATCGAACATTCGGTGAAAGACATTTTTTTTCAGTGATGAACCTCAATTGTCATATTTGGAGTGAGGCTAATCCACAAGCCATAGTTGAGACGTCGTTGCATCCCCAAAAAGACACGTTTTAGTATGCTCTACCGGTAATGACAAGCATAATGTTAATGGTTAATAACTTTATTGTGTCTGAATTGGAAAAAGTTTGATGTAGAGCACCTTTGATTCGAACAAGAAGGCGCAACATACCCTACAACCAATGAAAAAATCAATTTATTTAAGTAAACTTGGGTGAGTACATTATCTCACGACGAAGGACTGTGGCATGGCCTCCAAGATAGCGCGATTTAACACCGCTGGACTCCTTGACTGCGCACATAAGATCGCAACGATTAACGTCTGTGAAGAGAAGTGTTCGAAGCCAGCCGCGAGTTGTAGAGAGTAGGAAGAACCGGAAACTTTAAGTCATTTAGGGCTGTTAGGATCCTTAGTGATATCACAATGGACCAGATTGATGACTTCGGTCAGCTGGTGCCCAGCAGCCACTTCAAGCTAATCTAACCTAACATAAAGTGATGCTGAGTAATATCGAACGCCTCGACCTCATACCTCCGATACTTAATTGTGACTTATTCAACTTAATGCTGCGTAAAATTAACGCTTCAGAACTGAATAGGTAAAATCTTCTCTAAGAGTGTATAGATACGGAGTGATGCCGATGATATTGTTATCGTTGTCTTTAACAATACTTTCCTTGGCTCTGCTTGCTATCGGCAGGATAAAGAATCGAATAAAATGGCTCTGTTAGTGGCCGAGAAAAAGAAGGAATATCTCCTGTCATCACAGAAACTGAGCGCTTTCACGTCTTGACTTTTGCGTCACTGTTGACAGTCATAACTTGGAAGTCGTAGGTAACTTGCTCTGTTTTGGCATTAACAACAACAACTGTGTGAGGTCCGAAATCCAAAGGAGTGGGACTTACTTCACGATGAGAAAGCGTGGTTGTTGATAACATTCAATGTGTCAGCTTTGGGAATCTTCGAGAAAAGAATTTTCCGCGATCTTTGGTCGTCGGTGTACGAGCGATGAATAATAACTCAGACGATGGGCTGATGAGCTGCATGAGGCATACCAATACTTTGGATTCAAGGGGCGGCGGTTACGCTTTCTAGGAAATATCCTCTGCACGGACTTTGGAAGTATTTGATACACTACCTACTGACGGAAGCAGAAGAAAAGGAGTGCATTCGACTCCGTTGGAGTGATTTAGCACAAGCGTTCATTGAAAAGAAAAGTCCGGAAACTTGTTTTCAGATGTTCTCCTATCATAAATCCAAGTGGCTTTATATGTACTTTCCACTTCCAATAGAAGTCGGCTTGATTTTATGAAAGTAAAAATGCTTTCTAGTTTCATATGATAAAGCATATTTCATTGGTATTTTTATTATTGTGGGTATTTCAGGAAAACCCCACACTACTACAAACGCATATTTATCATTTCATTTGGCTGCGAAAGAAATTGCACTTTGCGAAGCACACAAAAATTATGATCTAAGACTTATAACACTTTGTACATCTAAACATCTATCTAAAAATTTCATTTAGAAAGTAGGAAATGAGTTTTTACGAAATATTTCCGTTTTCGCGGCTGTACAACGAGACTCGAACGAGTATCGCATATTACTAAGCAACATTTACCAACACTTCTACGAACAGCTGATTTCAGTTGTCAAACTCAACGAAGCAGTGATGTGTCAACAGCTGTGAGTGGACGTGGTTTCCATAAAAATTTGCATTTATTATTGAAGAATTAAATTTTTAAACTTTTAATAAAAGTGTTACTAAATTAATAAACATTAATGTATCGTAGCATTCCAGAGATATTTGCCCACCTAACAATATGGACATAACGCAAAAATTCAAAGCTGGCGTAATGACAGTGAAACTACAACGCAAAGGTGAACTGCCACCACAATCGATGGACAAACAACGCATACTGCCCAAAGGCGGTGCTGGTGTCAGAGCAGGGCAACGCGATGAATTCTCCCGTCAAGCAAAGGATGTATGCCACAAAATCACAACATTGCGTAATGTACTTGTCGAAAATCGCGCAGCCTATATGCGTATAGGTCAACACCTAAAGAATGCCGCACATATGACCGATGAGCAGCGCGACTTAATTGACCGAGAGTCTGAGAAATTCGTAACATATTACACGCAACATTTAGCACAAATGCGCGCCGATTGGAAGAAGGCAAAAAGAAAAGTGCAACAACAGCAACATATCGAAGCTGTAATCGATTTGTTAGAGCGTTATTTGCATAGCGTGCAGCAAATTTACTTGGATCAAAAACGCTATCGCGTACAATATGAACTAGAGACATATAAACTTTTAAAATTGGCAGCTGATAAAAAGAAAATACCCGTACGACCAGCGGGTGAAAATAGTGGACGTCGTTTAAAGCGTCTATCAACAATTAGTAACAATTTTGATGACGATGTTGCAAATGAATTGCGCCCACGCAGTGGTTTAAACGATCAAGATGTTACAGATCTGCAAGGTGATTGGTTGGATGACGACGAATTTGGCGACAACGACTATAATAAAGAAGATTGTAGTAACGCAGATGATGGTCTTAGTGGCTATATTAGTGGTGATGAAAATGGACCACAACTACGACACCGACATCCACACGCTGATGATAGTATTGGTAGCGGTGGTGATTTGAATAAAACACAGTCCTCGCAGAAAGTCGCACTGGATGAAGATATACAAAAATCCCAGCAACTGGAAGATGAGGCAGAAGCGGCGAAGAAATTATCACCGGAAGACATACAAATGTACGAGCAAGAGAACTCACAACTCTATCAGGAATTACAAGGCGTAACTGAAGAGGTTGAACAGATTGAGAAGAATGTTGTGGACATTGCGCAGTTACAGGATATATTCACTGAGAAGGTGCGTTTCAATTTTTTATTAATTAGATTCTGTATTTAAACATATGCATTTCCGCGCACAGGTTTCCTTGCAGCAACATAACATTGAACGCATTGCCAACGCTGTCATTGGCGCGACGGAGAATGTCAAAGATGCTAACGAGCAGATACAACAAGCAATACAACGCAATGCCGGCTTGCGTGTTTGGTCATTATTTTTTCTATTAGTGATGTCATTTGCTTTACTCTTTCTCGATTGGTACTATGATTAAAGTAATTGAGGAAAGTCAAAGTATACTCGGAGCCATAAAGCGCTTTACAAATATGATATAAGCAATATACAAAAACAAAAATAGCGATAAACGAAAATGTTTTATGATAATAATTATGTTTGTATGTCGTGTATTTAAAATGCAGCGATATTTCTTAATTATTGAATGGAGTTGATTTATGTTTTGTTAAATATCACGCATCCGATATGCATACATATATATATATATATTTAAGTTTCAATTGTTTTATAACTATTTATTGACGCAGTCATACATTTCCAGTCACCTTAACATACTTACATGCATGCATACACAATATATTATATAATGTAAATGGAAACTACTTTTTATACCGATATTAGCTTAAGCGCCTATAAAATACGAAAGCAAAACTTATGTATGTCTGAATGTTGTAACAATAAACAGTTTCATATTTTCCATTGCTTAGATAGGAAAATATTTGGGTGAAATTTACATTTTTTATTTTATGTTTTTTTTTGTTTCATTTTAGAATTATGGTATGTTGTAAGACAATTGAGAATATGGTACGACGAGGGATCATTTTTATGTTAGCGTAATGAAATGACTATTGAATGGCTGGGGGGGCGGTTGAACGCTGGCAGCATGGGGCCACATAACTCGTGGTCCATTCCCTGTGAGTCTTACGGCCTGAGCAGGTCTTAAGGTGACTCCAACCATTGCACTGGTTGCATCTAACCGTGGTGTAGAAGTGGTGGTGACACACGCAACAGAAATAGGCCGTCGGACCAGGGTTGGTTTCAACACCAGCCCTGATCAGAAGGATTTGGAGCAACCCAGCTGCAAGGTGTTGCTCCATTGGCGAACTTAGAGTAACATTAGTCTATTGACCGAGCGATCTAACACCGCCGAAAGGGTAACAGACCTTGGCCGGATAAAATCCGGGTCAACTCCGGTGCGTAGAACCAGCTGTCGTGAGAGTTGTTTGCTGGACCTCCCACTCCCACTTAAACTGATCAAACCTGTGCCTAAGCGGGGTTAGCGAACCGCTACAACAACAACAACAACACGGTTAAATGGCTCATAATCAGTATATATACAAAGTTTCATTGTTCTCACAGAATAAGGCTTTGAGCTGTCTTCATAATCGTGAGTGAAAAGTGAAATATTGAAAAAATCAAACATCGAATACCGTTATAAAGTACCTTACCAGAGCAAGGGAAATTAGTTGCGACTATAATAAATTAAATTAGGAAGATAATCCTGCATAAGTTGGACTTCGATATTTAGAATCCCCAACCTACAGCCTAGATCTGGCCGTGAGTATTATTATTAGCTGTTTCCAAAAATGAAAAGAAATGCTGAGAGGTAGTGAATTTATCCCCGATGATGAGGTCAAAGAGACAGTTTCGGCATATTTTGAAAGAGAATACATTTTTTTTAAATTGGAAAAAAATTAATTGAAAGATCTGAAAAATTTAACCATCTTGCAGGTGAATATGTGAAAGTGGAAAAATATTTTGTTTTTTTTTTTATTTTCACCCCATATCACTCTCAGCGAAAATCATCGAAATTGGTGGATTATAGCATATAGCCTTCAAAAACAACCGCTATTTCCAGATATTAGATTTTGAGTCAAAAATCCATCAAGAAAGCATCTAAAAGCGTAAGGTTTGGTATAAAGACCAATGGCGGTATAGTTTTGTTTTTTGTTTTTTGTTTTTTGTTTTATAATTTTCTCATTATTCACAAAAAATAAAAAATAAAATAAGAATAAAAGCTGGAATTATGATTCTATTTAAAAAAAAAAGTTTAAATAATTGATTTTAAGTTGCTAAAGATGCTTACAATAAATAAGAGACTTTTTTTTAAATTATTTTTTGCACAAAAATATGATTGCTTCAATTCATTTCTTCTCTTTATTAATTAATAATTTCTCTTTCACATTTATAATAAAAGCGCCAGGCTTGGAACGTAGCACATGCTGTTGCTGCCATTGGAGATGTACATACATAAATAATATACATGCATATATTTCTTATTTAAGTCTATATTTACAACTAATTAGTCTTAAATAAAATATCTCATTTTTCAAATATATGTACATATATACATAGGTTACTTTTATGAATTTACATAATTTTTTATTTATTTATTTATTTTTTTTTTTTTGTTAAACATATATTAATAATTATTTTTAACAACTATTTTGTGTTTTGCTCATTGCTGCCTGTTTTGATTAAAATCTTATATTTTGTTTTGAAAATGTTGCAGAGTTGAAATATAATAATAAATTATATATTTATAAAGTTAATTAAAAATATTTCAATAGCAAGTACAAACAATTAAATTGAGTTCATTAAATACATTAAAATTAATTAATTTAATTACATTCATTTTGTTGTATGTCTAAATGATATAAATATTTTTATGAGAAGTTATACGTACATAAATAACATAAATATATACATATGTACATATGTATGCACATAAATATGTTTCAGTAGCATAATGCTCTACATTTGTATGCTTAAAATAAAGAAGTCCATTTTCATTGCTTTGAGTTAAAATAAATTATTTTCATTTTGATTTTTTTATTGCTAATTTTTTTCCCCTCCATAAAGCAAATTATATTCATATATTCATTGTACGCATATATTAGTTTAACATTTGCATTTTTTATATTATTTTCTTTGCAACAAAAAACAAAAAATATTTTGCAAATTTTAAAGAAGATTGATTTAGTCTATTAATGTCTAATTAAAAAGTAACGTAATTGAAAAAAAATTAATAAAAATTATATAATTGTAAAAATAATGGTTTTGATTTTCATAAATAACTTGTGATTTTGCGCGTTTGCCTGCTCATATACATGTCAATGAAATGTATGTACATATGTATGTACGTGAGTGCATGTGGCGCAGATTTTTGGCTTTGAGTGTTTGAGTAATTTTTAAAATTATTAATAATTAATATTAATTGTTTATTTTAAGATTTTTTTTGGTGATAATTTTTTTTTAGCAACTAACATTTATGTATGTATGTACGAGTATGTCTATAAGTAAGCGAAATTGATATATACGCATGTATGTATGTATAGAAGTGAAATTCATATATAAGCATAACTCATCAATAACTAATTAAATAATAATTAATTTATATACATTTGTATACATATATATATATATGCATAATATTAAACATATTTACATATGTACATACAATGTGTTTGTATTTGATAATTTAAAAAAAAAAAAACGGTTTTTATTTATTATACATACATATTTACTATTTTATCAGTTTTATAAATTATATATGTTTCATTTATTCAACAAGAAAAACAAAAAGGTAAGAGTTTGTTTTTTTAGGCACTAGAGTTCATTTCATTGTAATTTCTCTTAACATTTCTTTAGCAGAGAGTTGGTGGTGAGAGATTGGGTTCAATTATTATATATTATTTCAAGCAGACTTTTTTTAAAAATCAAATTTAAAGAAATTATCGCATAAAATAGTAATAACTGTAGTCTCTAACCTAAACTGAGCTTTTTTTTGTAGTATAAACAGTAAACTTTTATAGTGAAAGCTACACAAATGTGTTGAAAGCGCTTAGGGTATATAAATAAAAGCTTTTTACAAATAATTTCATTGGAGTTTAATAAAAGGATAGTTTTTTTTTATAAATTAATTAAATAAATTTTTAATATAAACATTTATTTTTTTAAGGACGTTTTATATTTTTCACAGTCAGAATGCAAGCGAGAAGAACGGAATTTTTTGGATTTTTATACGATAAATAATATATATATAAAGTGCGATTTATATATGTATACCTACATAAATATATGTATAGCTAGTAACTGAAATCGTCTATTAAATAATGAAGCCAAGAGAGCGAAAGTGCGAAACAATTCAATTTTTTTTTAATTTTAACATATAATTATAATGGCCAAATATCCCACTTAATAGCATTTTATTAAATATACATATGTATGTAGATATACGTGTCTATGTATATACAAAAAAAAAAATTTATAAAAAGTATTAACATTTATAATTTCATTTAAAACAATATAAAATATATTAATTTAGTTTATATTTAATTAACTGGTAATTAAATGAAAACTTTAAAAAATTCGTTAGAAAAAAACTATTTCTTATCCACGCGTTCATCAGTTTATTTAAATTCAGCTAATTAATAAATTTAAATTAAAATTTAAAATTTAAAATTTTAATTAAATTTATTAAGAGATTAATTTCTTTCTTTAATTAAAAAATGGGAAATTTTTATTTTTGTTGAAAGCAAAGGATAAAAGCACTAAATGGAAATTAATTTTCTTTTAAATAATAATATAACAAAAAAAAATAAAGAACTATAAAAATTATAGTAATTATAATACTAAAAGTAATATTGATAATAATAATAATAATAATAATAATGATAATAAATATAAGAATAATAATAATTATAATAATAGCAAAAATAATAGTAATATAAATAATAATAATAAAAATATTAGCAATAATAAAAATAATAGCAATAATTATAATAATAATAATAATAATAATAATAATAATAATAATAATAATAATAATAATAATAATAATAATAATAATCATAATAATAATAATAATAATAATAATAAAAATAATAATTCTAAAAGTAATCAAAATAATAAAATTTATAACAGTAATAAAAATAAGAATAATAATTATAATAACAATAAAAATTATATTTATAAAAATAAAGCTAATAACAATAAGGATAATAAAAATAATAATGATAACAAAAATAATTAAATATAATCATAAAAATAATAACAGTATTAATAATAAATATAGTAGTAGTCATAATACAAATAACAATAAAAAATGATAATAAAAAAAATAATAATAATAAAAATAATAATAATCAAAATAAGAATAATAATAATAATAAAAATAATAATAATAAAAATAATAATAATAATAAAAATAATAATAATAATAAAAATAAGAATAATAATAATAATAAAAATAATAATAATAATAAAAATAAGAATAATGAAAATTATTTACTCACAACTTATTTTTAATGCTTTAAAAGAAATTATTATTTGACAAAGTTTTTAATAAAAATGAAAATGTTAAAAAACAATTAATAATAAGTTATTATGTATGTTAATTTTAATTAAAAAAGTTACTTTTACTAAAATAATTTTTAAAAAGCTTACTTTTGAAATTCCTGTTTCATTTAAGTTTAATAAAAACTACATGCAAATTTCTTAAAAATTATTCACTTCAAAAAATATAGTGTAAAGTATTTATATTTACGCTATGTATGTATGAGTGATTGGTAATTTTTTTCCTTAATAGCCGGCGAGCCACAAAATTTATTTGAATTAAAAAAATATATACACATACATACATATGTATATAATTTATATACGAAAAGTAAAAATAAAGGAAAAATTATTATTATGTAATTATGTAAAAAAATTAATAACATATATATATAATAAAATTCAAAATAATTCAAGATTAATTCAAAAATAACACAAGGAACGCAATAGTATACAAAGAAAATAAGTATGGAAAAACATTATTATTATATCAAAAATAGTTAAAAGCAAAAAAAAAACATATATAAAGATATACATATATACATACTATATATATATATATATATATATATATATATATATATATATATATATAAATAATATAAACAAAAATTAAAAATTCAAGTAAAATGAAAGAAAACATATCCAAGAGTACACCTTTTTACGCTAAATATGCAGTCTAAATGAAATTTAATTATTTTTTTTTCTGCTTGCAAAACTGAGATTCACATGAATTTTTTTTATAAATGTCTGTTTAAGAGCATACAAACATAAGTGACACACACATATGTATATACATACATATTTGAAATGATGAGGTTTGAATGTGCATACATACATACATACATACATACATACATTATATGCAGCTAGGTGTAAGAATGTGTGTTCGAAATGTTTTATATCATTTTCTTATTTACATACAGCAACAAATATTTTATGTATAATTTTTTTATTGAAATTAATAAGTAACATTAAAACTATTAATTTTAATTATTTTTTTTTATTATAATGAAGGATTTTTGGGGATTCCAGTGAAAAGTATTTTTAGTGTGTTACTTTTTAATAAAATTAATTTTGATAATTTTTTATGTACATAAATCAATTAACAGTAGGAGTGTAATAATATACACAATTTCATTTTTCTTTCATAATGTTATTTACATATATATATAATATGTGTATAAATTTTTTAAACATATTAAGGTGAATTTAACAATGTATTTTAATAAAAATATTTTTTGGCGCAACGGCAAAATTACAGCTCATAGTTTTTTGTATGTATTTTTTATTTTTTAATTGAAGTGTGTTTAACAATTATTAAAAATCATTTTTAATTCAAATTATTATTTTTGATTAAAGATTTATTAAAAAATTATATTTTTTATTAAGAAAAATTAAAATTAATATTTTTTTCTTTTTATTAAAAAAAGTTCAAAAGTACTTTGATTAAAACTTAATTAAAAAAATAAATTTTTCTTCTTTTTATAAAAAAAAGTCAAAATTAATTCAGTTAAAAATTAATAAAGAAGGTAATGGTAATTATAAAAAAATTAAATAAATCTTAAAAAAAAAATGGAAATGACATTTTGTGGGTTTACTGCTAAGAAAAAAATATATATATAAAGTACTTTAGTAACTCAAAGTCGAATTATAATTAAATTAATCAATATTTAGTAATTCATTTCACTTAAGCATATTCATATTTATATGTATGTGTGCGCTTTATAAATATTAAGTTAATCATAAAAATGTTTTCCATACAAAGTTAAAAGTAATAAGAGACCGTATGATATGTTTTTGTATGTATGTATAATAGTTCATATATAATATTATAATTATTATTAGTTTAAGTTGGTTTTTTTTTAAGAAATAAGTAATTGCATATTTTTACATTCAACAAACATACAGATAGCTTAAATAATAGCGTAGCAATCTAAAGAAATTTGAAAGCAATACTTTTTTTTAACTGTTCAACATTTAATATTTTTAGTACTTTTCTTTTTTTAAACATTTCCACTTATTTTAGACAATTAAATATTTATATAAGCGAAAGCAATATAAATTGTACAATAAAATTAGTTAAAAAAAAAGCATTTATGAGCAGACTATTCTTTCTAATATAAAATATGTGAAAATTGTTATTGTTACTCGTATTGCTATTAAGCTTAAATAAAATGCAAATGAAGAAAATATTGCCTACAAAATAGTAAAATACACAATTTGTCTCTTACATTTGCTAAATTAAACGAAAGTCAAAGTCAAAGTAGTTTCCTTTTAAGAGCCGCGCGTGAGCACTGCGACTCAGAACCATTAACATTTTGGGTTATCCAATAAGCCGCCTAAGTAAATCTTCTTTTACTTCTCCCCGTAGGGCGGACTCTTGCCACCACCATCGCGTACTTTCTCCTCCCCCTCAGCCTCGTGTTATTTCTCTGCACAGTAATAGAGTACTATTGTAGGCGGCTTCTGCGCTACAATGTACGCAATGGCCCTGGACTATTTAGCACTACTACTGCAACCGTTAGCCACCGCTACTTCGGTGCCGGCTTTATGCATGCCAGTACTGTTAGTACCGAATGCATTGGTAGTTGTGTTGCTGCTGGTGGTGCTAATATCCGCATAGTGTTGTTCAGTGGCAAAAGGATGTGGACTGGCGCCCGTGGTTGTGCTGGGACTACAGCCGGGTGTAAATACTAATTCATCAGTATTTTCTTGTTGTTCTTGTAGCGCTTTTAGCTGTTCATCCTGTTGGGCCGAAAACACATCTTCATTATTCTCCATCGCTACTATATTGTGGTCTTCAAATTCTTGTATTGCTTTTTGTTGTTGTTGTTGTTTTAGTGTTTTTTGTTGTTGATCTGCATTCACATGCTCGATACTATCAATATCCATAGCCACAGCCATTGGCGTGGCGACATCTTCAACATCTTCAACAACGTCATCAACATCGTCGTCAACATGTGCTTGCTCAGCTGTTGGTGTCTCATCCATTAACTCAGTTGATTCTTCTTCTTCAAGCAGCTGCTCCATTTCATGTTGTTCCCGTACAATCGTTTCATCATCGTCTTCATCTTCCCCCTCATGCGGTTGCTCTACGATTGTTTCCATTAGCGATTCTTGTGGTTGTTGGTACTGTTGTTGTTGTTGCTGCTGCTGTTGCGTTCGGGACTCTTCAACATCGCCCTCGTCCATCTCATATTCATCCTGTGGCTGGTGTTGCTCTTGTTCATGCTCTTGCTGCTGCCGCTGTTGCTGCTCCTCCTCCTCTTCCTGTTGCTGTTGCTGTTCCTGTTCCTGCTGTTGGCGCTGCGGCAGCTGTAGCGCATCCTCGGACATGAAAACGCCCAACGGCAGATGTGTCTTCATGTGTACTGTGGAAAATGCAACAAAAATATGGGCTTTTAGTAAAAAATAATTGCTAAAATTCAATTACAATTAGAAGGATAAATGCGCAAATAAAGATAGATAAGTCTGAGAGGCATAAGACTAAATACATACATACTCGGATGTGCATATGCAGTTACATATGTGTGCACAGAATGCATAAATATAGTATGTATGTATGTATGTTTGTTTGTTTGTATAAATGTAAGTAAGCAGTGGGTAAATAGTAGGCACAAAAATGGACTAACTACAACTAGAACCAAAGAAAAGCTATTAAAAAGAGATGTTTACTATGTGTGTACATACATACATATGAAGGATCAAGCGAACAGCTGGCAAAATAGGTAGACATTAAGGAAATCATATGGGTGCATTTATATTTAGAAAAAAGCGCCGGCTGCTAGTCTTAAATGCTAAATATGAAATTACAACTTGGATTATCTACTTTAAATTATGGGTTAGGCAGGCGACATTACGGTAGCTTACAGTCAACAGTTAGTCAAAGTTTAAAGCTCTTGCTGGTGAAACTCGATGTACATAGATTGTTGGACAGACACGCCCGACTGATAATATTACAAATGGACCACCTTGCATGCAAGTGGTTTAAGTGGTTGAGAAGTCCAAGCAATGAATTGGTTATAATAATTAAATTAAGTAGGAAAATAAGATGTTATAAATTCTGATGAATGATGGTATCCAATTGGAACTCTTTAATTGACGACAGGCTTTTGAACTGCACTATGGACTCAATTAAACTTAACAACTGGAGTTGAACAATATTTGTGTATTTCACTAGAGGTTTATGGGTTCTCTGGTAGAGAACTTGGGCAGTTGCGTCAGCCAACGAAGAAAACATTAAATGCCCAGTTTCTGGTGGCGAGAATTTCGAACGATTAAATCTCGTAGTTAGATAGATGAGAGCGGCTACCGTCTCACGAATAATTTCACACTTAAGATCAAGCAGGTACGCTATGAGACTTCAACCTTCCAACCATTTTTCAACCTTAATTAGTCTTTCCAGGACTATTTTCATGTTCCAAGGCATTCCAATAGGTTGTTTAACTCGGCATCTCACTACTTAATACTGCTTTTATTGCAGGACAGCTGCATGAGAACGCCCGTCACAAATCTGTAATCACAACAGACTGTCGAAAAATATTCTGCTCTATTCGTAGAACACTGAACAGCAAATCGTTAAGGAAACTGTGGGATGGTATTTCAAGTTCACTACGTAAAGCTACAAACGAAAATTTTGGTACAAGCATTGCCGTGCCGCAGAGGAGAGAAAACAGCCTGCCACTACTGAAATGAGTGAATATGAAAAGCTTGACAAGCTGGCAGACCAGGTTAATGCTTGAAAAAAAGGTTCCAAGTTCGGAACAAACTTTTGTTGTACTCAGTGGGGTGATCTAGCGACTGATGCCCAGGGTACACCGAATCGATGGAGCTAGCACTTCTGCAGCCTGCTGATTTACAATGATATTTAACACCAGCCCATGCGAGCACGATTCGTCAAGCGATGACGTTGGGACAGCTGTTTGATTGCTCTACTATGAAGAAGTTCGAAAAGCAAACGCCCACTTGGAAAAAAAAAAAATGGCGGAGGCCGACGGATTGTCAACCTTTAAACAACGTTTACCAAGTCGGCGCTACAGCTTAAGAGAGAAAAGGTTACACGACCTTTTTAAATCTAAAGAATCGGCCAAACCAGAATATTTCCACGGCTAAGAGCGCGTTCAAGGATTCTAGAAAACTCACGGATCTTTAGCCCAGTACGACGGTGAATTTTATTCGATTCAATACCGCCACGACCACAAGACTTCCCAAAGGTAGTTTTAGGATTATTTTGCGCCACACAAGCAACGTAACCAACGATCTTTTAAGGGAAAAATTTCCGGACCGTGTTATCCCTCGAAGAGGTGATCGCTATTGGTCAACGAGATCTTGTGATTTAACGCCTTGCAACTGTGTTCCTTGCAGTCACGTGAAAGATAAGATCTACAACAACTGACCAACGTCGTTTCAAGATCACAAAGATGAAATTCATGAAGCTTTTGAGGGCATGCAGCGGCCGAGACGGCCATTTGGTGATGGAAAATTTCCAGCCGAGGCGACCATTTGGCTCATATTGTTTTCTGTTATTAATGGGAAATCTTTCTCTTTCAAAAGGTGTCTCTAGGAGGCCGTTGATGGAGTTAAAAAAAAATAAATAAAAATAAAAACAAATGGAGTTAAACCTTTCAATTGCAAATATTTCTACTAAATACAACTACAATACAGCAACAACAATATAAATTTATTCTACTTGTTATTTATTGGCACCGGAATGTCCTTTATCCTTTTTAACACATTATACAAATACCGCACTAATGAACAGATGAAAGACAAAAAGCTTCGAGGAGTGAGCACAACAACTGCCAGTCAAGTTATTTGCTAATATGAAACAATTTTGTTACGCTCTTCCAAACAAATTATAGTAAAAAAAAAATGAAATGGAGCGAGAAAGCGTCATTAAGTCCTTTGCGAAGACACCAATGCCTAATTTAATATATATANGCATTTTCCGAACTTGCTGCAGTGATTACTCAGAAATATATTGTTTACAATATACATTGCTAAATCTAAAAACAAAGACAAAAAAGAAATGTGTAATCAAGTAACAGTGTTTACACGCCAACTACAAAGCACGTAATTACACATGCCGAGCGGAGCGCCGGAGCGTGTTAAACTGTACGCAAGTAACTAAACAGCATCATAATAACGAGGCGACAGGAGACACACGAAAGACAATCGACGGTAGTCGATAGATAAACGGTAAGATGGTGTAGATGTGCATGCATACATACATAAACACACACATACATACATATGTACATACGTGCACTTAAAAAAAGGACTTCTCACTAGTGGAAGAGACTACTACATATGTATGTATATGCAGCTGTAGTTGAAACCGCACGCTTGCCAACTCAATCTCAACTACATCATTGCATAGTTGGCTGTTGATGAATGTTTTTTTTTTTTTTTTTTTTTTTTTTTTTGTTGGCAACATCAGGCGATGTAAGTTTGTGTGTCGTAGAATGTGAGCTCATTGTATTGTCCTTAGATGGGTTTGTTGTGATAACTAAACGACAGGCGCCGCAGGCGGGGAGATCTGCATTTCTTTTGTACGGATGTACATGTGTATGTGTGCGTGACTAACTAATGAGTAATCGATCATGTCAGTTGGCATTGTGCGGAAGGGTGTGAGTTAGACTAAATAAACGATGATGGAACTTTACGGTCTTTGTTTGCTTTTGCCCAAAAGTCGCTTGGCTTGAAAGGTTTGAGGTGAAATTTACGTGAAGAGAGATGGCAAGAAAATTAAATAACAAAGTGTTTAGCTGTGAAGTTGTTTTTTTTTTTAACTTTTTCTTTTTCGCAATAAACAATTGTTTACAAAAACGCACCTTTTTTCGTTTTATGTGCGTTCGTGTGTAAAATTGTATCAACTGATAAATAAATATAAATTGTATTATGCGGTAAACTACGGCCGCAGAGCGCCGGAAGACTAATACGTCTGCTGCACAATTACTTACAACTGACAATTTTCTTTCCGCCAATCACCTTCGCTCACTTACTTTTGCACGTTTTGTGTCACTTTCAGGTGGTGTCACCACATTGCTGCCGAAATTAAAAATTCAAACTTCATACTCATAGATGCTTGCTGGGAAATACCACAGCAGATCGACGGTTGGGTTTGTTGTGATGGACATCAGCAGTAGCAGCTGTTAGAAAGTATGACTACTAAAGGATAACCGCAAGGATCAGTGAATATATTTATTTTATAGCCCGCACTTAAATGCTTGACGGCAATGATCTTCGCAATAGACTGTTTTTACACATATATATGTACATACATATGTATATACGTACATATCTAAAAATGTATAAGGTACATAGCACGTACATTTGTTAGTACAGCTGCTCGAGTTTATGACTCGCGCCTAGCATAATTAATAACTTGACGTCAAATTGAGGCTTTTGAAAAAAGTTTCACGTACAAACGTGCTGTTGATCGTAAAGGTGTTGTGTGAAATTGAAATTATTTATTTGTATTTATATTTTTTAAAGGTGACAATTTAAAATGTGACTTGCATAATGACTGATAGGCTGGCAGTTGTTGATGCTGTTAAAAAGACAATAAAAGTTGAGCAGAATTGCAGAAGCGGAAAAGTACTTTAAAACCGCATGTTTGTATTTACGCATGTATACTTATAGCATAGCATTTAAATAATTAATTTTTTTTATTTATTTTTTCAAAAAAAAATAAAAAAAATATATATAAAAATGTACAGAGCTAAGTAGCGTAGGCGCATTGAGTTCTTGCAGCACTAACAGGCGACATTAAATTGTATTTTTAGTCTAATGCTAAGTAAGACAAGAATAGTCTAAAGCATGTATTTCAACCATGGCTTTTTTGAGCTTTGTAAGCAAATTCAATGATTCTCCGAATGTGCTGAGTATTCAGTACAATATTATCCATTTACGAATTAATTAAGTTTACGCCTTAAGAAAATTGCAAACAATTGCAAACTTTCATTAAGACCAGAAAGTTTCCGGTAATTGTCATTGTAGATTATACCTTTAAAAATAACATATTAAAATTTCAAATCGATATCTCATATAGTTTTTGAGTTATAGCAATTTAAAGAGCAGCCGCTCGGCAGCTAGAGAGTCTCATTAGCTACGAGTGAAAACGATCATTTTATCTTTAAACGCGTTTTTCTCGAAACAGCATTTTCCGAACTTGCTGCAGTGATTACTCAAAAACAAATGATCCGATTAATACCGAATTTTTTTACATGTTCTAGATATAGTTCTGCGTACAATGACTTTTCGATTTGATCAAAAAATCGATTTTTGGCAGGCCAAAAACGATCAAAATTTTTGTTAAAATTCGACTATTTTTTTTTAAACGCCGCCATATTGTCAATTTTTGATTTTT